GCTAAAGATGATCAACAGCATTTATTATCATCCGATAAAGATTATTCAACATTATTAGACATATTTATCTTGCATGATGGTTTAAAAATATTAGCTCAACATTTTTCTCGTAATTATCCAACAATTCAATATTTTGAAGATGATTTAAATATATCATTTGATAAAATTGATTTTTTTGATTTTTCATCATTGGTACCGTCATCCGCCTCAGGACAAACAGCAGCAAATATATCACCTACAAATATGCCACATTATGTTTTCATTACATTTTCAATCTTTTTACGTTTACCAAATTATGCTAAAGCTATGTTAAAAAATCGTGCATTAGCCTGTAGTATAATACGTTTAATGTTAGGACAACAACAATCAACAGAACAACGAAATCAACAACAATTTGATATGCGACAATTATCAAAATTACCATTTGAAACATTGTCAACATTATTGAAAGATTCTCCAAGTGAACTATTGAACGATATATTTCATTCCAGTATATTATTGCTCTTATTATCGTGTCTTTCATCCATTACCCGTCATCCACATCGAAAACAGGTTCAAAAACAAGAAACAATTGATGAAGATGAATCTACAACTCAAACTACAATTAATGAAGAAGATCCAGGTGGTGATGATTATGATACACAGGATTCAACAATACCAAATCCTAATCAACATTTAGCTGAATCATCGAATATTCATCATCCAACGCAAACAAATCAAAATTTTTGGGCAAAAGGAACAGGTTTTGGAACAGGTCCAACAGTATCTATCTGGGATGCTGAACAAACATTAATGCTTCAAAAATTACATGAAGAACATGTCATTTATTTGTTTGATATATTATGTTCAATATTTTCATCAAAATTATCGGAACAATTGATTGATGATAATGTCTATGAAATGTTGAATAGTTCTTGTCTTGTTCCAGTTATTGAATCTTATTTAAGAAATGATAGTATTTTGGATATATCAAAACAAGGTGATATTCATCGTCAATGTTTAAAATTGGTTTATTGTCTAGTAAATAATGAAAAATTAAAAACACTTTTATTACAAACAAGTAATATTAAACAGTTAATTGAAAATTTATTACAATGTGTTCAAACATATACAACAATGGTTCAACAACAAATTGATGATGATGAACAATTATGTTTATTTATGGTTGAATTAAAACAAGTTTATGATAAAATAATTGAAGAAACAACGGAATTAGAAGAAAAACAAAATAGTACAGATGATCAAGATACGGATAATGATGATATTACATTAGACGTATTTTATTGTAAAACAATGAAACCATTACAATTTAGTACATATGAAATAACAAAAGAAAATAATGATAATGGAAAATT